GAGGAATCATTTTCTCCATGCTTCCAAGCGAAGCCAGCCATGGTTGAGCAGGACCTTTTACTTATCTTCCCATAGGCAGAACTGGTAAAAGAAAGGAGCCAGGGGCTCCTCCCAAGCCCATGTGACCCCTGAGGAACAGATCCCCAAATGACCTTAAGAGTAAAAACAAATTGGTTTATCTGGGCCAGCTGTATGTACTTAAACACCCAAAAGGAAAGTATAACCAAAGATTAAAGGGGCCAATATAATTTCATAAGAGCATACATATATATACCTAAAAGTTATTTTACAAACAGCAAAGCCAGACAGGCGACACCTTCAGTCGAGATGTTGGCCAGGATAGATAATGGCTCTTCCAGACAGTAACCCAGCGTGGGAAAATGGACAGCAGACCCTAATCTTATCTAAAGGAGTATTGACAACTGATTGCTGATAGAAGAGGCCAAAGCTGACTCTCCTAAAACAAAGACCTCTAGATAGGCTGACTAGATTCACCAGAAGGGCAAATAGTGGGGAATGGCTGGGGTTCCAACAACACAGCAGAGAGTAGCAGGGATGTCAGAGTATAAGGGCTCTAGTGGGGGGAGGGAGGCTATGGGAAAGTGCTATTGGGACGTGGGTGTATAGTTGAATAAGATGGTTTGGGATGTTCTGTGTGATATACACACACTCACAAAAAAAAATCAACAAATTTTTTTAAATGTATTATATTTGAGGAGGAAGCAACCTAAGTGTCCCTCAATCGACAAGTGGATAATGAAAACATGGTTCATTTATACGATGGAATTTTACTCAGCAGTAAAGAAAGATGAAATTTGCAGGTAAACGGATGGAACTAGAAACTGTTATACTAAGTGAAGCAACACTTTAAACAGAACTGTGCCTAAATGTTGTAGCTGAGACACAGCAAACTATCTGTTATATCTAACTCTGGTGTTGTTGATTGCTTTGAATCTGGATGCTGTGGGGTTTTTTCTCATTTTTATAAAGTCTTTTGTCATTTTTAATTCCTCCTTGTTAATTTTTGGTCTTGTAAATTTTTACAACTTTTAATTACCAATGAAGTATAATATCACAGAATTTCAACGCCGTGCTTTCCTTTCAGCAGACACTGTGTGTGTGTGTGTTGCGGGAGGGGGTTGAGTCAATGCAGTCAGGAACTGAGCTGCTTTAGGAATTTGCCCTTGCAGCGATTCCTTTCAGGATAGCACACCATGTAATTTTTACTCACTCATCATTAGTTTGCATTTAGGGTTGGACTGGCTTAGCATTTTTTGACATGTTCTCACAGAAACATTTTGTTTTTACCTCCATTCCACAACTGCTATTATGTGTAGGTGATGGGAGATTGTGTAAGAGTACTCTCTGATTCGTATTAAGCCTTAACGTCAGTTAGATACCAGATTATGCTTCTTGGAAGTTGGCTTTATAGTATTCCTGTACTATCTAGAAATATAGCTCAAGATATTATGTGTTATTCTCTCTCTCTCTCTCTCTCTCTCTCTCTCTCCTTCTCTAATTATTGGTTTAAAGTCTTCTATAACTGGCTCCTCTGAGGCCTGTATTCATCATTTTTATCACTGAGAGGACAATTAACATTCTAAGCTTTAATTCTGCTTCATGAAGCCTACAGAATATGTGCAAAAATGCTACTATGCAATAGTTTTGTGATTTTCTTTTGGGGTAACAGTAATTAAAGTTACTCTCAGCAAATATTCAGTCTACGGTTCCTTAAATATACATGGCAGGCTTACTGCAATTTATTTGTTTTAATATGCTGGTCAGATTTAACCCCATTGTTGCAGTAGGTGAAGGAATGTCCATTATCTTTACTGCATACAGTTACATGGCCTGGATTTAGAGCAATTTATTTATCCATTTACTGTTGAGGTGTGTCAGTGGCTCAAGGTTTGGGCTGCCGAGTAATTATGAAGTGACCGCCAGTGTGTATATGTTTTATTAAGTGCTCACATTGCTGGTCATAAATGTTTACTAGTGGAATGTGTAAGCCCTACAAATCTCTTTCGGTAGGTTTGTCAGAGGTCCTTTCAGTTGACACTGCATGCAGGCTTCATCCAACTTCACTTACTCTGCATCTTTTCACTACATGTTATATGACGCTAAATTGGGGTTTTTCTTCTGGAAGCCATGTGTTCTTAGTTATGATTTTATTTTGCATTTCTCTAATGTTTTGCAAAGTTAAGAATTTTTTCAGATTCCTTAAAGGTAATCATTAGTGTTGTCAACTTGACAGAATCTGGAATCACTTGGGAGATGGGCCCCTGGGCATGTCAGTGGGGGATTATTTTGAGTTCATTAATCGATGTGGAAAGACCCACCTTACATGTGGGTGGGACCATTCCATGACTAAGGAGTGGTCTACTCATAGGACTGTAGAATGGAGAGAGATTTGAGCATCAGGAAGCATTCATTGCTCTCGGTTTCCTTCCTTCTTTCTTTTTTTTTGGGGGGGTCGGTTTTGGTTTTGGTTTTTTTGAGACACGATCTCCAGGTAGCACCAGCTGACCTGGAACTTGCTATGTAAACCAGGCTGTCCTCCATCTCTCAGAGATCTGCCTGCCTCTTCTTTCTCAGTGCTAGGCTTAAAGGTATGTGCCAGCCTGTCTGGCTTCTTTCTTTCTGATGATACTATTTTCTTTATTAAAAAATAACTTACAACACTTGCTTCAGCAGCACATATACTTAAATTGGAACTATACAGACAAGATTAGCATGACCCTGCACTAGGATGACACTCAAATTCATGAAGTGATTCATATATTTATGCAGTGATATGAAGGGGGAAAGGAACATTATTGTAGAAAGGATTAAATGGGGTGGTGAAAACGAAGGGCAGGGGAGAGAAGGGAGTATAAGGAGGGATAAATAACACTGAAGACCCCTAGAAATTGATATATATAGTTGGGTGTGGTGGTGCCGCCTTTAATCTCAGCACTTGGGAGGCAGAGGCAGCCTGATCTCTGTGACTTAAAAGACAGCCTGGTCTACATAGTGAGTTCCAAGCCAGCTAGGACTACAGGGAGACCCTGCCTCCAAAAGACCACAAAAAAATTTTCATCTAGAAACTGACCATTATAGAAGCCTCTTAATGTATATATGTATACATTATAAAAAGAGATTAAAGGAGTTACCCTGTAAAGGGGGGACATTGTCCCTTCTAGACATCATAGGCTAACAGAAAGAGTTTAATACAGGACTTCTGTCCAAGGACCCGCACTCTGCAGACTCTTACTCTCTACACATTGACCATTTGTAACCTTTTGCGCTCCTGGCCCCTGCTGCATGAGGGCACTTCTTTGATGAGAATTGAAAGATGCATTAGTGCTCTCTTTACCCCTTCTCCTATGTTCCATGAGCCTTGGGTGTAGAGAGGTTGCATTGTAGATGTGCCATTTAAACTTGGGCAATTCACAAACAATGTCTGGGTGTGAACAGTTGTGGAACTCTTTAATATTCTCCATCTATTGCAAAAGAAGCTTCTTTGATGAGTGGTGACTGGCATACTTATCTATAAATATAAGGACCCATATTTTGCACATAGCAAGAAATACATTTGTCTAGGGACATGACAGTCTCTTAAATTTTCTGCACCATATTTCTTTCCTGCTATTGGCAGTTGATGGTTCCTGGGTGAGGGAAAGGCATTTCTTTTTTTTAATTTTTATTTATTACATTATATATATATATATATATGAATGTATTGTCTGCATGTATGAGTGCACCTGTGTCATGCAATGCCGTGGAGGTCAGAAGAGGGCACCAGATTCCACTGGAAACTGGAGTAAAGGACTCTTAGCCAGCATGTGGGTGTTGGGAATCGAACCCGGGTCCTCTGCAAGAGCAGTCAGTGCTCTTAGCCACTGAGCCACCTCTCCAGCCCTGGCATTTTTCTTTAGGACTGTGGCCAGTAGTAGTTTCTCCATGTCCTTGTGGACAACCACATGCCATGCTCATGTAGGTAGAAGTAAGAGGATTTAGTGGGTTAAATAAATAATAATAAAAAGAGGACATGAACTTAGGAGGAAGATAAAATTTCGGTTTCACTGGAGAGTGGGAGTGGGGGAGTTGTGGATCTGACTAACATACATTATATTCATGTACGAAAATTTTAAAGTCAGGAAAGCTGACTCAGTAGTTAAGAGCACTTGCTGCTCTTGCAGAGGACGCGAGATCAGTTCCCAGCATCCACATAGCAGCTAACAACTGTCCATAACTCCAGTTCCAGGGAAATATGATGCCTTCTTCTGACCTCCTTGGGCATTGTATGACATGGCTGCACTTACACACATGCAGGCAAAGTACTCATATGCTTAAAAAAATATATAAATGGGCTGGACAGATGACTCAGCAGTTAAGAGCACTGACTCTTCTTGCAGAGGACCTGAGTTTGATTCCCAGCACCCACATGGCAGCTACAACTGTCCTTAATTCCAGTTCCAAGGGAATCCGAAGCCCTCTTCTGACCTCCACGGCACTACACAACCCGGGTGCACTCACATACATGCAGGCAATACACTCATACATATAAAATAAAATAATTTTTAAAATTTAAAATAATTAAATAAATAAATAAATAAATAAGCCAGGCATGGTGGTGCAGGCCTTTAATCCCAGCACTCAGGAGGCAAGACAGGCAGATCTCTGTGAATTCGAGGCCAGCCTGGTCTACATAGCGAGTCCCAGGCCAGCTGGGGCTAAAGGAAGACCCTGTCTCAAAAAGACCAAATTAATTAATCAATTAATTAATTAATTTTTAAAAAGATATTTTAAAAAGCATTCAAACCTGGGCATGGTGGCACACACCTTTAATCCTAGCACTTGGGAAGCAGATCTCTGTGAGTTCCAGGCCAGCCTGGTTTACATAGCTAATTCCAGGCAAGCTGGGGCTAAAGGGAGACCATGTCTCAAAAGGACCAAAATAATTTTTTTTCAAAAACTCCAACATCACAGACTACACTGATTCACAGAGGAGGACTCTAGTACAAAATGTAGCTCTGATATCAGGAGCTAAGTGGAGAGTGCCTGAGCCTAGGTCTGGTATCTGCAGCGAATGTCCTGGAAGTTCAGAAGGGGAAACACCTACATGGTGATGTGCGTACAGGATGAAGCTGAGATCTGCATGAGAGCAAAGAAATCCTGAGGATGACAGTGTTTGTGACTCCTCCAGACTCAAAGAAATTGACAGATTTACACGGTGAAGATTTGGGGCAGTCCTTTTGTGAATTCGAATGAATCATCATAGAGAAATATGTTCAGACCTTTCTCAGTAATAGCAGCTTGCACTCCAGGATAATATTTTTTGTAAATTTTTATTGAATTTTTGTGTATTTCATGAAGAACATCTTAATCATCTTTGTACCCCCTTCCCCATCAGCACCCTTCCATAGACCCCCCCAACACACACACACACACACACACACACACACACACACACACACTGGAATTCATGCATTCTGTCATTTGTGTTAAGGTCTATGGAATCAAGTTAGTGTCCCTAGATGTCCCTCAGCGCAAGTTCATCTACTGAGGTCTAGTCAGCCTATCTAGAGTGACAATAGTTCTTTGGCTAAGATTGGAGGCTGATGCCCATTTCCAGTTCCTTGCAGATTTTTGTCTGCTTGAGTTTGCTTGTGTCTTGTACATGCTGACACCATTGCTGTAAATTCATATGAGAAGGGTCCCAGGAGCCTGTAGGACTATTTTCATATGGTCATGAACCTCCTCCATGGCTCTTACAGTCTTTCTTCCCCTTCCTCTGCAATGGTCTCTCAGCCCTGGGTGGGTAGATTTTACTATAAGAGTCCTGTCCAAGGACCCACACTGCAGACTCTTATTCTCTGCATTTTGGCCATTTGTGACCTGGCCGGTTGTTGCATGAAGGAGATTCATTGATGAGAATTGAAAGATGTATTAGTGTTCTCTTCATCCCTTGTTCTATGTTTCATAAGACTTAGGTGTAGAGGTTGCATCCTAGATGTGCCACTTAGACTTGGGCAATTCACAGACCATCTCTGTGTGTGACCAGTTGTGGAACTCTGTAATAGTCTCTATCTGTTGCAAAAGAAGCTTCTTTGATAAATGGTGACTGGGATGCTTGTCTGTTTTTTTATTTCTTTCCTGATAAACTAGGCTTGTTTAGGTAAATAGGGATTCAGTTTTTTGGACAAAATATCTGTGTAATAGCACACATTCTCTGTTCTTGTTTTACACGATTGTTAGGATTTTATAATTATATGATTTTATGAATTTGTGGTGCCGGAATCCAAACCAGGGTCCTGAGCATGCTTGGGAAGGACTCCATCACTAACCCATCACTGAACTAAATTCCTAGTCATAGTTTAGTAATTCTCCAGCATAGGAGCTGGAGAGATGGCTCAGCTGATGGAAGCAGTGGTTGCTCTTGCAAAGGACCTGGGTTTGACTCCCAGGACCCACATGGCAGCTAAAAACTGTCCTAACTGCAGTTCCAGGGGATCCAATGCCCTCTTCTGATCTCTGAAAGCATTGCATGACACAGGTGCACTTACATGCATGCAAGCAATACACTTACACACATAAAATAAAATAATAGGATAATAAATAAAATATTTAAAATAAAAAATGCATAGGCACCCAAAAGAAATTTTCCAGGTAGAGAAAAAGAACCACAGTTGTAAAGAAACCTAGACAACCATCTTTGCATTTCATATTAAATATTTAATTACAATAAGATAACAATAAAGTAAGTAGGAAATACTTAAAAGACATTAAAGTGCTACGTTATTGCTTGACTTCAATTAAGACAGGCTCCCTGAGTTATGGATGACTTAGGGTACAGCCTGTCCGCATCATGCATGGCCAATGGAGAAGGAAGGCCTGACAGGAAAATTTAAGGCACCAGCAGGGTACCACCATATGAGGGAATTCTTGGCCACATTCAAGAAACTTACATTTCCAAGGTCACAATCCAGGAGCATACCAATCTGGCCCAGTGGTATCTCTACATAATGAGGAAGTGATGGGGAGGTAGTCAGGAGGCTGTAATGATCACCCTTCTTCACAAATACAAGAAGGAACACATCCTTCAGTTCAGTCAGTGGGCCATACTTGCTTCACCGGGAATCTTTACAAACCCCTATAGTCCAGTCCCAAGAGTCACATACAAACAGCTCCCAATAATGTTTCCCATAACTGAAGCTCTGGGTTCCCCCAGAAAACAGAGTAGCATCCATCAGAATTCACAGATGCATCCTGAAGTTGATGTGGAAAGCTGAATCTTCTCACATCATTAAATAGGTTCATCTTGTAATGGATCATGATTTCATTTTCAAAGAAAATTTCCACTGCGAAGAGAAGAAAATATTTCCCTTGAAATAAGCTTCAAACTTTCTTAGATTAGATATGTCTTCTGGCAAGAATGCCTTGCATTTGAGGATTTCAAGAATAAGCAAATCTGTGAGGGTGATGAAAAAAATTTCTGAAACTTTGTAAATAATAAAGAAGATGGAGCTTCTGCCAACTTCTGTCTGGTGACTTTCAATTACACCTGATAAACTGGAGGTGTGTACATTGCAACTAAGTCTAGATCACTGACTGACTTCATGGCTCTCTTCACAAGTAGTTATCCCTAACATGTCAGTAGTGATCCTTTCCCCCTGGTGTTATTTCAACATAATTAAGGATATTGATAATTAAGAAGAAAAATCTTAATGTACAATCTTAGAAGTGATTCTCTAGAAGCAACTGACTATTGTCAACTCCTGAGTCCTCTAATGACTATTTATCTTTGAGGCTGTAACTCAGTGTAGATCTACAGAGAAATCAAGATTGTGCCTCATCTATGAATTTATTTTACTTTTCATGCTCATGATATATTTCTATATTTTTTCATGCATTTAATTTTTATATTTATTTATTTTGTTTATTGAGATAAGGTATTGCTATAGAGTTGTGGCTGACATGGAACTCAATATATGGACAAGGCTGCCCTTAAACCCATGAAAGTCCTCTTCTGCCTCCCCAGTTCTGGGGTTACAGGTTGCAGAAGAACACCTGTGTATTTTCAATCTATCAAATGAAATATACTTTAAAAATTCTTTTGAAAATATATTTAAGGGAAAATATTTAATGAACTCCCATTATTCATCTTCCTGATTTAAATTAGAATGTCCTGAATTAATTAACAGTTCTGTATGTGTAATTGTACAATGGATATATTTTCATCCCCAATCATATTTTTATATCAGTATACATTGTGTCTTTCCTTTATGATAGTGAGCATATTAATCAGTATGACTATTTCCTGTGGATATGTTCCTATCAAGTTAAAGAGTAATGAGTGATGGGGCTGTAGAGATGGCACAGTGGTTAAGAACACTTACTGTTCTTCCAGGGGACCCAGGTTCGATTCCCAGCACCCACATGGTGGCTAACAACCATCCATAACTCCAGTTCCAAGGAGTCCAATAACCTCTTCTGGCCTCTGTGGGCATTGCACACATGTGGTGCTCTTATATGCAGGCAAAACACTCATATACATAAAATAAAATTTTTTAAAAAAAGATTAATGAGTCGGAAAGTCACCCCATCATTTAAAGGCACCCATGGTCATTCACCTATGCCAACACTCACCTCCAAAACAGTTGGATCTGTGGGTCAGTCCAGTGATGAGCTGGGCACTGAGTGCTAGTTTCACAGGCTGGGGCATGGACAGCTGCACTGACTCACTTCTGCAAGGAAGAAGAAGAAATTTATCCACCTCTGGCCAAAGTTGTTACCAGGATGTGTAGAAAAATAAATAATCACTCAGGAGTTGGCTAAATGTCTTAGTAGGCACCATCACTTGACTGCAATCCTGACAATTTGAAATCAATTTCTCAAACCAATAACGAAAGGGAAAATTCCCTCCCCAAATTTCTCTTCTGACCTCCAAATGTATTATGGAATCTGTGTGTCTGCACTCATGCTCTTTCACAAAACACACACACAGGCACATGCACACACCCATAGTTATAATAATACATGCATTAAAAATAATCAAACAGGTGAGCACATATCATGTCTCATGACATGGTTTCCTGACATTGTGATGAAACCCCGGGATCAGGAGACAGAATACTTCCTTGAAAATGGTCTTTCTGACTTCTCTCCTTGACTGCTACTAACCTATTTCTCAGTGACACCTGCCTCTTTCACCTCCTACCTGGGAAAAATATAGCCCATGAGCCTGCACCAGTGTTTATAGTTTTAAAACTAGAAATTTCAGCATTGAGCCCCACAACACATACTCCTTCAGTCACAGGAAGAAAGAAAAGACAATTTCTACAAACAGAGAATAGAAATCATATATATTAAAACATACCCAAACATGCTCAGCATGGTCGGCCAAGCCTTTAATACCAGCACTCCAGAGGTGGAGCCAGACCCAGGCAAATATCACTAAGTTCAGGGCCAGCCTGGTCCTTTAGTGAGTTCCAGGTCATAACTTCAGTCCTCTAAAGACAAGGTCTCTTTCATAATTCTCATTGAACCCTAATTTACACTGACAACTAAACTCACCTTGTCAATATTTCTCTCAAATCCTGCAAAGAAATGGAAAAAGGTTAGGTTACTGAAAAAAGGCATACTGTTTTGTTTATAAAATTCACACACTATCAATCATCACACCAATCCACCACGTAAATAGTTTTATCTCTAAGAATAAAGCCAGTCTAGAAAGTTGACCAGATTTGAATTCTGGATGAAAACAGAACAATGAGAATGACAGAGTGAGAAGGAAGTGGGTAGTGATTGGGGCACGGCGGGAACCCACAGCCCTCTGCAAAAGTGTCTGGGCCTCTCCATAAAGGTAGCATGACTTTTCTTAAGGATAATTCCAAACCATGGTCTCAGTCAGGCATTATGACTCATACCTGTAATTCCAGCATTTGAGAAGCTGAGACAAGAGGATTACTGTCAGTTGGAGCTCATCCTGGGCCACAGCATGAGACGCTTTCTTGAAAATCAAACCTCCCAAACAACTCTCCAAAAACTGGCTTCCAAACCAAAAAAGGAATTAAATTATAGCCTTCTCCAAATTTCTGCATAATACCCAAGAATATGCAAAAACTGAGTTTATGAACAATCAAAACAGTTTGCAGCTTTAAGAGAGGCAAACTCCAGCCTGGCTTGGTGGTGCATGCCTTTAATCCCAGCACTCCGGACAGAGGTTGGCAGATCTCTATGAATTCAAGGTCAGCCTGGTCCATATAGTGAGTTCCAGGCGAGCTGTGGCTAGAGGGAGATCCTGTCTCAGAAAAGAGAGAGAGAGAGAGAGAGAGAGAGAGAGAGAGAGAGAGGCAAAAAGAAATATTACCTGAAGAATCTCCTGATGCAGTTCTTTAAACTTGATCTTTTATGGTTAGGATAGAATTTACTTTATTTGGATTGTTTCTGAAAGGTTACATCCTGACCATAGGTGTGACAACTATAGAAAACTATCTTTGGTATCAAGTCACATATTCACGGTGTGGCCCTCAGCTGAGAGCCCTTTTTGCACCTCTCCATGTTCACCTGGAGTAGCTCCGTGTCCGTTCCCTGGCACCTTGCTGCCAGTTCCTGGTACGTTTCTATTAGTTGATTCCTCTTTCGTACCATTATGGCTGTGCTTTTCTGTAGTTTCTCTAAAATACTTTGGCCTTCATTTTTTAGCCTCTCTACATGTTGCATTTCTTCCTCAAGGATGACTGGATGCAGTTTCCGATATTCCGTCCTGACCAACACTTCTCGTAGAGGCACATGGCCCTACAGAGACATAGACATTCCAGATCACACTTGAGATCACTTTCTCTTCCTCCACTTAAAATTCTTCAGATTTAAGTTTAACTGGTACCTTCTATGAGTATAAATGCACATAGAACTTAATGGTACCAATTTTCAAGAAACTTAAATTTATTCTGTTATTTCATTTATTTTCTTTTTATTCCTTATCTCTAACCACTTTCCTCTATTTCATGAGTTCTTGAAATATCTGAAGTAAAGCTTTTGATTTAACTTTATCTGTTTGCAAAAATATGAAGATCTGCATGCCAACAGTTAAAATTCATGGTGTAGTCATAAATTATGTCAGCGAATCAGTCATGAGTTTCAAACTTCTCTACTACTCACCCTGACCACGTTCTCTACCTGTGGAGTTGAATATTATATTGAGAATTAGAGGCTATGATAAAAAGTTTCTCTATTATCGTAATTTTTGATTCATGACCCTCAAGTCACTAATAATCAAGTTTCCAAAATGTCTGTCTCATGCAGATTTCTAAGCATCACAGTGACCTACCCACCATCCAAGCTAAGATTATTTTCTTCTCTTCATTTAGATTCCTCTGATTTTCTTGGATCTTTTCCCATAAGCATGTCATTTGCTCTAGTAGTTTCTCCTGTAACAAACAATAAATATCAACCCCAGAGAGAAACAATGGAACAAGGTTTCAGACCCAGACTGACATGGCATCAAAATAAAAATACTTTAGAGAGACTGAGGATCGATTTTTTAGTAACTTTTGTTATTTTGATTGTAGAAAAATTTCAGACTATTGAATGAAAAAATTCAATGTAATTTTTGGTCAGGGAAAGTGGTTAATTAGCATGGCTAATTTTCCAGTGGTCTGGTACATGGTTTCTGATTATAGATTCCCAGATGGTTTTCCACCCTTTCCCTTTAATTCCCATGTACTTCCCATAATTTAGTTTCCAGTGTTAGTGAACAAATACCTTCCATTGGCACCTATTTCACTATCCAGTGAGTTGAGCATAATAAAGGTAATTAAAATAGAAACAAGCATTAAACTTATCAGATTCCAAAGGTATGTAAGTCCTACGAAGACAGGATACTCTCACACTGTATTCACAGTTTCTTCATTAGCTCTTTTAAAAATGCCCACCACTCAGAAAACAGTGGGTTGATCATCATCATAAGTTTCTTCCCTGTGATCTGCTAATCTCCCACCTTTCAGTTCTCACCTGCTCTCAGAGGCACCACTTACCCTCTGCTCCTCAACAGCTGCTTCAGTGGGACAGAGAGTGTGACCTTCATGCTCCTCAGAGTTGGATCCTGTCCTCTTGACAGAAGATCCTCTTTGTCTCCTTGTGGGTCACACACAGGTCCTCCTCAGAGCTCAGGCACTTCCTGAGGCTGGCTTGTCTGGAAATGGACACCAGCTCCTTCAGAAGGTTGTCAGTTCTGAGGGCCTTCTGCTGGGATGGTTCCTTATATACAGGGCAATGGGCAGGAGGTTGGATGTTCTCCCAGGAAAGGCAGAGACAGTGCCGGCAGAAGCTGTGTCCACAGCTTATGGTGACTGGGACTGTAAGGTAGTTCCGGCAGATGAAGCATGTGAGCTCTTCCTAGAAGGTTTGTGAGATGTCTGACTCCATTCTTCTGAGGGAAGAGAAGCAGAATTGCTTAGTATTCTGCACCAGAGACAAAAGACTACATGAAATTCCATTTAGGTTGAAATTTACTTCTATCTACTACAGGAGAGGCTTCACTGTAAATATGACCAAGAAGAAAACCCAAGTGCAAGCTTGTTGCTACCACTCATTCATATTTCTCTTGTCCTGTCTGAGAGATATATATTGATTTGACAGTGTTCTATGTCCCTGCCACTGCATTTGTCCTGGAGGGTTTGGCTCAAGCTGCTTTCTTGCTCCTTTTCTGTACTTCATTTTTTCTCAAAAACACCAAATGGATTGTACCTGTCCATACGCCAGTGTTCTCATAGAAACCCCAATCATGACATATGTAATTAGGACACTACTTTCTTTTGTTGTCTATCCAACAACATGCTTCACCCTTCCACACATTCCCATAGTACATGTTTTGAACAAATTTCTGGTTCCTAATGTTTTATTCTTTGGAATTGCACAGACCCCTCCAGTGAGAGTTTGGTGCCTATAGTAGTTACCTTTCTTCTTGCTGTCACAAAATCTCTGACATAAGAAACTTAAGAAAGGAAGGGTTATTTTGGCTCACAGTTCAAGATACAGCCAATCATGGTGGGGAAGTAATGGTAGCATAAGTTTGAGACTGCTAATCTCATTGCATCCAAATCAGGAAGTGGACAGCATTGTATTCCTGCTGTACAGCTCCTTTTCTCGTTCATGTTCAGCCTGAGCCCTTGGTTCATGGAGGGGACTTCCCAACGTAGTCTACCTAACCCGTATAAAAAGCCTTCCCATGTGCCTGAAGATTTCCATAGTAATGATAAATCCCACCAAATGGACTGTCAGTATCAATCTTCCCAGGGGCACACTCTGTTCCAATTTCTCTGCTGCCCAAAGAGGAAACTCCAACTTTGAGTTTGTGGGATGAGATACTGTGACACAAATGAACTCTCGTGACTGTTGGGCACTTAATCAACAGACACTCATTTCCTATATGTTTTCATATCGACACAAAAAAAATAGCCTTGTTCGGATTGAGACAGCTTCCCTCCAGCTAACTAGAGCTTCAGGAGTTTGACACAAATGGAATCAAGTGGTTTCAGCTGGTGGGTCCTGACAACCCTGAAAACTGAGAACGCTCCTTTCCAGTGAGCAGCTGAGCTGAGCTGCATCTGAGCTGCTACTTTCCTTTTCTCCTTTGATGGTTGTATTTTTTCATTTCATATTTTCTTTCTCTCCATCAAAATCATCAACATGGTTTTGAACATATAAGAAATAATGAAAATGAATCTAAGCACTGCAAAATTGCCTCAGATTTTAACCAGAACCTAATTACACAAATAGAAAAAACATGGTGACTATTCTCAACATTAATTATGCCCTCCGACCAAACTAAACAAACCATAGCAGCTTAGGCACTTCTACCAAGATGTTAAACTACCAAGTATTCAGTCAAAGTATAAAAAGATGTTGCTTTATAATTCACAAAAGTAAACTCATTCTTTATGATTCTCATTTTGCTGAAAACTTTGGTATTCAATTCTTAAAAATGTCTGCATCCTGGTATTTCCTTCAAACCATTCAACACAGTGAGTAGTTACATATTTTAATCTGTCATCTCACTCACAGATATGTATGTATATATGCAGTTTTGAGAGTAGAGGGTATGCATTAGTTCTGTAACTGCAGAACACAATCACATGAAGTATTTAAGGATTGCCACAGAGTTCAAAATACTAAAGTATCTTGTAACTTCTTCTGATTCCTTATAATGGATTGGAAACACTAATGGTAACCTAAAATAGATCCTTACTTTATAAGTTATAAAGTAAATCAAGAGGACCAAATGGGAATAGTGTCACTCTTGATATATAAGAAAGCTCATTTCTTAGACAAACTTATTTGCTAATAAACCTAAAAGAGGGCATTTGTTTCATTTTTCTTGGGGAATTTCTAGATCTATTCTCCTCCTGCACATTGTCTACTCATGTAAAAAATGTGGCTCTAGCCTCACCAGCTCCAGGATCAGCTCCTCAAGGTGTGCATTCGAGATCTTCTGAGCCAGGAGTTTCTGAAACACACTCTGGTCTGGAGAAGAATGAACCTGGCCCCTGGTCTGTCCTTATATAGTCTCTGAAGACCACACCCATTTCTTTCAATGAATGCATTTCCTAAGGTTTCCAGTAGGCAGGAGCTATCCAGAATCAGGATTAGCTGAGAGTGGAAGTTCTCACCTTTAATCCCTTAATTCAAACTATTGGGAAACTTAAGATGGAAGGTTTTGAGTTCAAGGCCAGCCTGAGCTACACAATGAGCCCTGTCTCAGAAAAAAATAAAAACCAAACTGATATTACAACAATTTTACTGTAACTAAAGGTTAATGGGTCCTCTCACTCGCTTTTGCTTTTAATGATGTAAAAAAAGATGTTAACAATCTAAGATGTTGGCAAATATCTTAACACTTATAAAAAAAGTTTTTAATTTTAATTTATTTTGATTTTACATGTATGAATATTTTCCCTGCATGTATGTAAGTGCATGGCATGTGTGCTTGGATCCTGCATAGACATCAGATCCCCTAGAATAAGAATTAAGGGTGAATGTTAGCCACCATGTTTTTTTTTTTTTTCTAGGAGATAGGGCTAGTCTACAGAACGCAGGCTTGCCTTGAACTCTCTAAAAGCTAGCATCACAGGTCTGTTCCTCCAAACCTGGTTCAGTTTTGAACTTTCTACTCTTGGCTACTGCCTCATAAAGCTAAAATGTGTTAGGGCTATTTGCCAACAAACATCAGAAATCAGTTAACCTGGGAATATCACACCCTGAGAAAAAACTCTGCCTATAGTTCAGTGTTTGCCAAGCCAAGACTATATTATATTATGGCGATATAGTTTAGAGATTTTATTTTCCTCAACTCCATCTCATACTTTTCCCAAATAGACTCAGAGTCTTAAATTGTGGTTGGTTCTGAAAGAACATTCCACAAATCCTCACCAATTGAGCAAGAGTGGAGCAGACAGTTACCCCCACCCCATCCTGTGTGGCAGGGAAGGAATCGCTCTTGCAGACTACCTGACATCTTTCTACTTTGGGTTACATTGCTTAGACAACCCCCAGCCTGTACATAAATCTATATGGGTATTATTCAGTGTTCTCTAGAGGTACAGGGGCAAGAGAATGAATATATACATAAAGAAGATTTTATTAGATTGATTTACACAACAGGGTTGGTGTTCCCACAATGGTTGTCACACACCAAAGAGGTCTATATTCCCATAGTTGCTCAGTCCACAAGGCTGGATGTTTCAGCAGTCCCAATATGACATTGAAACCCTGGAGGATTCCTGGAAAACTGCAGGTCTTCAGTCTACATTGGAAGCCCAAAAAAGCTGGTTCTAATACCAGTGAAGGAATGCGGCAGTGACTTCATAGAATAACTCATCAGCAAGAGGGAAGGGGAGCAGACAAAAAGCAAAGTTTCCTTCTCCCAAATCCTCTTTGCTAAGCTGCCACCAAAAGGTCCTACATATATGAATGGTGTGCCTTCCTACTTCAAATAACCTCAAGAAGAAAGGGCCTCACAGTAGTGCCAAGTGGTTTGTGTTCTTGTTGATTCCAGAGCCAGCTAAATTGACCACCAAGTCTAGCCATCACAATTCAAAGTTGATCTATTTTTCCTCAGTACTTCCAAAACAGAATTTTATGATATGATATCAAGACCTTAAAAAAATCACAATCATGGGGCTGGAGAGTTGATTCAGCAGATAAGAGTACTGACTGCTCTTGAAGAGGACCCAGGTTCGATTCCCAGCATCCACATGGTGGCTAACAACCATCTGTAACTCCAGTTCCAGGGGATTTCAATGCCTTCTTCTGACCTCCTCAGGTTTTGCACCACACCGGTGCACTTACATACATGTAGACAATACACTCCTAAATATAAAATAAAAATAATAAATAAAATATTTTAATCACATTGAATTGGACATTGTGCAACTGGAAGTCTTAGTTTCTACAAGAATGATCTACTTGAGGCAGGAAATATTGTGCAAAGAATTGTCCCTGAACTCTGTTGGGCTTCACTCCCACAGAAGGATCAGGAGGGTAAGAACAGGTTGCTAGGCCAGAATCAGGGACCGTGGCCATTACATAATTGCCAAACCCTTCATATGGTATTTGCTCTCTGTTTTGTGTGTAGTTAGGCAAAAAGTCTGTCTCTTTTGTCCAATCAAGAAAACAAGCAAGCCGGGCATGGTGACCCATCTCTTTTTTTTTTTTAATTATTGGTTTTTTTTTTAATTTTCATACAACATTTCCCACTCAGATCAGATCCCTTCCCTGATCCATGCCTCCTCCATCCCCTCATTGAACCCTATGCACTCTGCCATACATGGTGAGTCCTATTCATTCAGGTGTTTGTACCCAAGTGTCCTTCAGTGTAAATGTGTCCACTGAAATCTAGTAAGCCCATCCAGTGGTCGTATGTAAGTCATACTCTACCTCACCCAGCAGCAATCAGTCTCAAATAGTTCTCTATCTAGTGCTGGCCCACCACCTATTTCTCACCTCTCCTTTGGGCCCTTGTTTAATTGAGCTGACATGGGTCCCGAAACAAGCCTCCAGTGGCCTGGAAGCCTCCACCTCATCTGTTCATGAACCATCCCTGGCTCTTACAATCCTTCTGCGTCCTCTTCTGCTATGGTCCCTGTGCCGTGGGTGGGTGAGGCTCCACACAGGAGTGCCATCCTACACTCTATGGTCTCTTATTCTCCAAAACTTGGCCAGTTGTGGCCTTCTATGTGCATCACACTGTGATGTACAAGGAAGCTCACTGGTGAGAGTTGAGGGGTGCATTAGCCCTCTCTCTACCCCTTATTCCTCTATGTTCCATGAGCCTTGGTTGTAGAGATTCGACTGCAGATGTGTCACATATTACTGGGCATCTCCCAGATGTATGTTCTCTGTACCTGACAAGATGTGCAACTCTGCAGTAGCCTCCATCTGTTGCAAAAAGAAGCTTCTTTGATGAATGCTGTACAGCATGTTTGTTGCGCTAAGGGAGGTCTCTTCTATCTGGCACTGCGTTCCCTATGAAGCAACTTCTAGGTATACATATACATTAATGTTCAGAGAGTCTATGTGCATTTCTCACAGGGTTTCTAGGGCATCACTTTTCCCTCTAGCTTTCCTAGCCCCCCTGAGATCCGTTCATCTCTACACTTTTTTTCTCCTTTCCAGCCACCCTCCCTTCCTAGTTACAGGGCCCCCACTATACCCACCCTCCCCCCAATACCTCCCAACTCCCACCATCTTTCCTTTCCTGACTTCCCTTGCTCCCCCACACTATAGTCCCTTGCATGTCCCTCCTTCCTCTCCTTCCACCTTCCTCAGGTAACATCTAAAAATATGAGACACTTCACAAATTTGCATGTCATCCTTGCACAGGGCCATGCTAATTTTCTCTGTATCCTTCCAATTTTAGTATAAGTGCTTCCAAAGCAAGTACAACACATCCCTTTAATCCCAGCACTCAGAAGGCAGAGGCAGATGGATCTCTGTAAGTTTGAGGCCAGCCTGGTCTCCATATTGAATCCAGACCTGCTGGGGCTACAGGGAGACCCTGTCTCAAAATGACAAAAAGAAAAGGAAAACAAAACAAAAACAAAATTGTGGGCTGTTATGCCCTGCTTGATGGTCTCCAGATGTTAGAAATTACTGCCAGCTTCACCATTGGAAACCATGCTCAGTTCCATAAATCTTTTTAAAATAGTTTATTTATTATTTTCCTTGTATACCTTTCCCTCCCCCCTCCCTTAAACTAACCCAATTTTTATCCATCACTCCCTTATTATTTTTATTTTATGTGTATGAGTACATTGCCTGCATGTATGTGAGCGCACCCGTGTCGTGCAACACCTCGGAGGTCAGAAGAGGGCTTCAGATTCCCCTGGAACTGGAGTTAAGGACAGCTTGTAGCTGCCATGTGGGTGCTGAGAATCGAACCCCAGGTCTTCTGCAAGAGCAATCAGTGCTCTTAACCACTGAGCCATCTCTCCAGCCCATTCCATAACAATATGACTTGTATATAACAATTCACTGGTACCCTTGGGTCAATAAGGGCAGATTCTTCTGAAAATTGAATCCACATCACATATCCTGCATCTTCAAAACAATAATATAATATGGTCGCAAAATACAAGTGGTTGTGTACTGTATCATAAAGTCTGGAGCTAGTCAAATAACCCCTGGGACACACTGCTAATTTATCTACATTCTCAGTCTATAAAAATGTCACTGTTTTCCCCCTATCAAAATCCTATCCCTAATTTATCCAAGATGCTTCTTACTTTTTTTGTTTGTTTGTTTGTTTGTTTGGCCTATACCTTTACTTTCCATCTTATATGACAAAGAAATATAGTGATGACTTTACCTTTTGGTTATACTTTCTTTTTGGGTGTTTAAGACCATACAGTTGGCCCAAATAAATCAATCTATTTTTACATTTAAGATAATTTGAGGATCTGTTCCTCAGGGGTTGTGGTGGCAGCTGTGGCTGCTCTCCTCCAGCTATGGCCGCTCCCCTGCTCTCTCAGTTCCTCCAATCAGTCCTCCAGTCTGGGCCCCAGGGTTGGTGAAGTCTGTGCCAACATCGCCACATTCAGATGCAGGAGACCAGGTTCAGTGACACAGATCTGCTTTATTGCAGGAAGGCACAAGCTTATATAGGGGTAGTGGTCCAATCACAGCACAGCAAGTAGGATACCTCATTAGCATAACAGGTTTAGCATCCTATCACAGAATAGTGGGTAGGATGCCTCACTAGCATACTGGGTTTCAGATTACAGAGCCTTGATTCCTGGAAAACACATGACCCTGACTGTTGCAATATCTAAGTGTTGCAATTTGGATTCCAAGGGTAGTGATTAGGGAGTGGTGAGCTCTAGGCATCAGTCTCATGATCTGCCAATGGGAGCAAATGCCACAAGGCATTCCTTGTGGCTCCAGTGGTTGGGCCGTTGCCTCAGGCCTGCTGTATGGCTGTCAATAAGACTTTCACCCTAGGCTCAAGCCTGTCTCCAACAAGGGGTCACATGGGCTTGGGAGGAGCTCTTGGCTCCTTTCTTTTACCAGTTCCATCTATGTGAAGATAAGTCAAAGGTCCTGCTCAACCATATCTGGCTTCCCTTGGAAGAATGGAGGAAATGTTTCTTTAAACATGCAAAATAAGCCATTTAGAGCTAGTAAACTTTCCCCATTCAAGGGAACTTAATTTGATTAACATATTAATCATACCTACAGTCAGCTGGAGTTTGGTTTTCTTGAAACTTTTCTCCATTCCTTAGAGAGAGAGAGAGAGAGAGAGAGAGAGAGAGAGAGAGAAATGCATGCTAGCAAAACATGCTGCATGCCTTCAGAGGTCTGAAAGCAATCCAAAATGAAACTGAATATTGAAGACAAAATACTTAGAAAGCAAAAAATTAAAAATAAAAACAGAAACAAAAATAGATACCTTAATGAGTCAAAGACTTTGAAAGCAAACAAAAACCAAAAAGTTATCTATCAAATACCATTCTTAAACAACCAGCCCAAAATAACAAATTGTCTACCAACCAAACCAAGGGAGGTCCAAAAGAGCCCCAGAATCCATCTGAGGAGACAGGACCAGAAGGCTGGACTTGAAGGGTCCAGGCTGGCATCTTGCTTCCATAAGGTTTTGTTGTGTGGTATTGTCCTTTTCATTTAATTGTAGGAATACTTTTATTTCTTTCTTAATTTCTTCTTTGACCCATTCATCATTCATGAGTGTGTTGTTTATTTTCCATGAGTTTGTGTAGTTAGTAGACCTTCTTTTGGTGTTGATTTTAACCTTTATTACATTGTGGTCTGATAGAATGTATGGAATCATTAAAATTTTTTGTATTTGTTGAAGTTTGCTTTGTGATCCAGTGTGTGGTCAATTTTAGAGACATTTTCCTTGGGCTGCTGAATAGAAAGTGTATTCTTTGGTGCTTGTGCAGAACATTCAATAGATGTCTGTTAGCTCCAGTTGATGTATGGTATCATTTAATTCAGATGTCTCGCTATTTATTCATTTTTTGGTTGACCTATTGGAGATAGTGGAGTGTTAAAATTCCCTACTATTACTGAGTTGGGGTTGATCTGTGTCTTAAAGTCCTATAGTACATTTTTTTATGAAACAACGTGCACCAGAGTTTAGTGCATATATGTTCATGATTGTAATATCTTCTTGGTCTGTTGTTCCTTTGATTAGAATGAAGTGACCCTCTTTATCTTTTCTGATTAGTTTTAATTTGAAGTCTATTTTGTCAGATGTTACAATTGCAACACTTGCTTGTTTCTTAGTGCCATTTGCTTCAAATATTCTTTCCATCCCTTCATCCTAAGGTAGTGTCTATCCTTAAAGGTGTGATGAGTTTCTTAAAGACAACAAAAAGATGGATTTTCTTTCTTAATCTATTCCATTAGCCTGTGTTTTTTGACTGGGTAGTTGAGGCCATTGATAGAGTTTTTATTGAAAGATGTGTATTAGTTACTGTCATTTTAATTGGTTTGTGTTCTTGGTCCTATTCTGTGTTTCTGTAATTATACCTTCCTTTATTATCTTTCTGTAACCTCTTGGATATACTCATTCGTATCTTTGGTCTTTTGTATTTCTTTGAATAGTCTCCATAGGCCTGGTTTAATGGACATGAATTCTTTCAACCTATTTGTGTCATGGAAAATTTTCTGTTCCACTTAAACTATGATAGATAGTTTTTCTGGATAAAGTATTCAGTGGCCCCTGCTCAGCCTGCTTTCTTATGCAACACAGGCCCACCTGCCCAGGGGTGGCACCACCCACAGGGGGCTGGGCCCTCCCATATCACTCATCAAGAAGATGCCCCTCGGACATGGCCATAGGCCAGTCCAATAGAGGAAATTCCCCAACTGAGGCTCCCTCAACCCAGGTGTGTCAAGTTGACACTAAAGCTATCCAGCACAATTGACCCCTTGTCAACTTGACACAAAAACACATCACTATTAAACCAAAAGCTTTTGATTTCTTGTCCCAAAGATATGATGTTAACAGTAATATCACAATATAAGACAGTAAAAACTTAAAAGCACCACAATCCTTTAAAAAATCTAAATGCTTCAAAGGCCAATTCCATTCCACCCCTACTGCTGCCCTTGGTAGTCATCATGGCATCTCCAAAAAGCTGGGGTCTCCACTGAAACTAAGGCTACACTGTCTTCTGGTGTCTCTGGGTACA